TTTGTGGGGCAATTGAAGTTGCCCACTTGCATCTCATCTGAGTTTGACTGACCACAACAAAGGTACACACCCGTAGCCCAAAGGCAGCTTTATTAGACCCACCCATGCACATGCTCGTATTGCCAGCTCATTGAGCGTAAGTATGCTGGGAAACGCTTACCCCGTGATAATGCGGCAATACTTAAAGTTACTTAATAGAAATACACCGCAAAAGCCGCAATATGCTGGCGTGTGCCCTTCTAAAGGCCCTGGGAGCAAAGTTGTCCGATCCTAAGTCTGTCTGTGTGCACCTTAACAGAGTCGCGTTACCACAAAACTTTTACTGCTCATTTTTGTATTGTGTTGTGGGCGTTAGTGCTGCCGCCTCTGTGGTGGTACCAATGCTTCCTGCCCGCCCACATGTACGAGTATTGACTAAATTAATATTCTCAATTTAAAACTTTTCAACAATTGATGGTGGTAAAAAGTTGCTCAAAGCTTTCTCAAGTTTTCAAAGTGAGAAAAGTGCGGGCTGCCTAATTTTCTAAACCACAAAATATCGTTGGATAGTGTAAGTAAGTAGTTGTATACAGCGGGTTCTAAAATGAGTGATTAAATACACATGTTATAAGAATTTAGCAGTCTGAATGCAAGTTGCGGACAGAGGGAATCAAGTATATTTGTGTTTAACATTATGAGAGAATGTCCGTGCCTTTACTTGTCTGTTTAGTACATGTTTTATTCTGATTTGCCTCCCACTCGTTCACTAGCAACATAATAAAAAGTTTTCTCACAAACAAAGTTTCAAGTAATAGCTCTAAAGCTTCCGGAAGAGGAGTGACTGAAATTGGATGACGAACAGACGGGTGTTACGAACTTAGATACCAAAAAAAAGCTTTAAATCGTATCTTTCTATATATACTCGTTTTTCAATGGCAGCTGTGTCCTCCCAAAAAGGCTTCGGTGTGAGGAGTAGAGATTAAAAAAGCCAACGCGAGTTGGATTAACATGTGATCTATCATTCTTCCACTTTAACACCATCCTCCACTGAACATCCAGTAAAATATACCCTGACACCTTTTGGTAAATATTTTCAAAATCATTCTTCTTATGCGAGCAACTTAAATTCGTTTCCTTCCGTCAACTTCGAATCAATTCATGTAATCGACAACATTCAAACCTTAGAACGTTTTAAAAGTTGGCAGTGAACGCACAACAAAGGCCAACACCACTACACTACACTCCCCAGTAAAGTACTCACCCAACTGCTTTGCCAGTGAAATGAACAAACATTTTTGAAAACTTACTTGAATAGATTATTAGTTTATCACAACTTGCTTCAGCACAGTTTGGCTCATGAAAGACTGTCCCAGTTCTTTGTAAGCTAATGAATGACTGAATAAGTAAGCTTAAGCCAGGTGGCAAGCAATCCAACAAAATGAAGGGGGACTTGAAAGTTGCTTTTGAAGTGGTTTTGTAAAACTTTGCTTCAACATCTTGCCGTTTACAACGACCCCATTAATATGGCAGCCATTGTATGAGCATTGGTGATTAAGAAAACCAAAAAAGTCTCCTTTGTGCTAAAGCCTTAAAAGACCTTAAAAGTAAACCAGATGAAGCGGCTTTGGTGTGGCTGAACACATGCGAATTATCTACTCTGAGGTAAGAAATGTTATTTACTACATAACTTTAATCGCGACTCGTTCACAACTGATTCAACTGCCCTGGACAGAGTCGGTGTTTTTTCTGTAACTGCTTTCTAATGAGGCTGCCAGCTGACACTCTCCCTACCAACCTGTCCGTTAGCCAGGCATATCCAACTGTGAAATTGACTTAAATTAAATGAAGCCAACGACACTAGCAATTGCAGGTTGCCTTCGGACTGGAGCGGCGTCAATCGACGCGGAAATTCTCGCAAGGCTAAAGCTTCCCCTTTTACGACGGCCGGCCACCCGCACATCGTTCCGTTTTGTTCCCAGTTCAAAAGCGTAGTACTGCGGGGGCTGAACAATAAGTAATTGTGTACTTGGCAAGTTCTAAAGTGCATTTGTATCCCTGTCTACTTTTCACAAACTCGTAACTCCTGAACTGTGTCCAAAAACTCCCAAAAATTTGCCTTGTCTTGACGAAAAGTTCTAAAATTTTTCAAGGAAGCTCAAAGCTGAACGCGTTAGAAAGGCAAGAGTTGCAATTAAGAAATCCTGGCAACTATCGAGGCGACAGGTATCCTGATTGCTGTTCTTCTGTGCAGAAAATTTTAGTTCAGCGACTACGGAGAATCTTGATCTTTTCGGTTCTGATGCACAACAACATAAAAATTGATTCAACCAATATATCGTGCTTATCATAAAATAAATATGGTAGAGGATCCCTTAAAATAACATTTATGCATTGGCTTCGAAAATAAAAGTATTATACGCAAATTCGCATCTATGTTGCTTGATCGACCCTCGTAATAATGCGCATTCCCACCTTATTGCCTCAGAAAAATAGTAATGAGCACTATAAGCCGAAGCTGTGCAGATAATCGCACGGAAAACGGATGTCCAATTAGTTGTGTGCCAGTTTCCGGCGCGACAGTGTCCGCTCTGGCACGGTTCGTCATTATGAACGTTTGCTTGTCAATTGCAGCTATTTGATTTCTATTCATTTTGTCAAGTGGTCGTCTGGTGGTGGGTCGTGCGGTTGGGTTGCTCTGCTGGTTAATATTTGCCTTACTTTACTGATTTGAATAACATACACAGATGCATATATACTTGTAGTATATGTACATAACAATATTGATTGCCCACTAGCTGATCTATGTGCTCGTACGCTTGTGTGCCTGATATTTATGGGCCTTTAGGGGCTCTTATCAATGCTTAAAATGCTGGCATGGAATCCTTCGGATTTATGTGTTTGATTGCGCAGCGTGTGTGGCGCTTATCGTTGGCATGAACGAGTATAGTATATTTTTAGGCGCGCTCGCGCGGCAGACAGATGACGGCGGCGTATATAAAATTTATCATGACTAAAAATTGAATAAAGGATTTACGGTCTCAAATTGGCGTGGCAACATCGAAGCCCAAATGTCATGTCAGACGTGTTCATCGAGGTCGTGCAACAGCAGCGTGTAAGTAATAGGAAGCCAAACAATAGCAACATGTGGAACTTGGGCGGCCTGTCGCCGGCACCACCTCCACACCATCGCATCATCGCACCATCGACCTCGATGTCGATGCCGACGCCAACAAACTCTAAGAGGGAGCGGAGGCTGAAAATCTATTAGAACGTGTTTCGCCTGCAAGGCCCCAAGTCTGTGCGTTCCGTGCCCAGCTCGACTGTATGGGCCATACTTATTTTGCCCGAGGGCATAATAAGCTTGCAACCGGATTGCTTTTTTCTTTGCCGCCCTTCTTTCCTTTTTCAGTCAGTGTGCGTGTGTGTGTCTGGAATATTTACTTATGATTGAGTTGCTTTGCGGGACACACACACACACACACACAACCAAACGCACCAGCTTGATATAAGATTGCGGGTTCTTTACTGATTTTCGCATCCATTTCGGTTTTTATTTCAAAATGCGTGTGTAAGCGTTGATGTAAGTGTGTATGCGTGAGAGAAGAAAATTTAAATTGATTTTATATTGTTGACTGCCGTTCTTGTCGAAATGGTGGTTGTTCTTTTTGTTGTTCTTCCAAAGTGATACCACATATTATTTTAAAATTCAATTTGCACTCTACAATTCGCGCCAAAAAGAGTGACAATCATCGCAAATGAGCGATGATAATAATTTTCGAAATGGTATGCATACTGAGAGAAAAACGAATGCTGGATCACATGTTATATGGCTAGAGGAATCGATATTTGTCTGTCTTCCTCTTGTGGAGCAAGTACGATCACTGGCCCATTCACCATGTATCCATTTGTGATTGCCGATTAGTCTCTGGTTAATTACTCTTTGCTAAATATGTTATAGTTTTTGGATTTTTCGACAAAAGGGTAACTTGAAAGGACGGGATAAAACAATCGCAATCAAAGTAATCCCAGATTTTTATACCCTGTACCCACAGGGTACACACAGAAGGAGGCTTGGTAGACCCCACAAAGTATATATATTCTTGATCAGCATGACAAGCCGAGTCGATATAGCGATGTCCGTCTGTCTGTCTGTCTGTATGAACGCAATGATCTCAGAAAGTATAAGAGCTAGAATAACCAAACTTGGTATACAGATTCTCCTGAGCCCGAGAAAGGACGAGTTTGTTCATTTTTTCTGATCCACACCCCCACTCCCCCCTATTAACGATTTTCTATAACTCCCGTAATTCTTAAAATTTCGAACTAAAACTACTGGTAGTCACAGTAGCTTAGTGATAGCTTATGATAGAATGATCGGAAAGAAAGTTATAGCCATATAACCAGGCCCAATGCATACATACATGTACAAGTACACAAACACGCATAGGCACGATTCTGATGTAAATGTAAATATATGTATGCATGTATGGAATATTTTATCTTTAATTTAGTTAATTAATTAAATTAAACTAATTAATTAATTTAATTAATTTAATTTTTTGTGGGGTGGTGCAGGGTATTTAAGAGTTGAGCCTGCTCGATTTTAGCATTCCTTTCTTGTTAGTAATAGGTGCAATCAATAATCATTAATCACTAGTCACAATTACAATTACCTGGTAATTGCGGACGTTTTCTGTATTAAATGCAGACTGCAATTGTCCGAAAACTATATGTTGGTGTCATGGATGAATAAGTACGAATAAATAGGCGATAGTACGTAACCGTTGAGGTGAGATGGCGGCGCTTTGCCGTCGGAACTAAGCATAATTTCACAACTTCAAATAGTACAAAATGTGATCAAACTTTAGTAGGTGCTATACGACGATTACGCTTGTAGATATGTCATTCTCATTATACAAGTATGTACATACATATGTTATCGTACGCAATAAGCTGAAAAAACTTTTTATGGTCTAAATACAATAAACGTATTAATGGGCTTGTCAAGGGAAATAGTAAAATTTGTCTTTAATCGCTTAATTTATTGTGTAATTAGAATTAAATGAACTTCACTAAGCTTTTAACTTATCGCACTTAAGATCATATGTTTCATCAACTTGTGTTTGCTCGTATTTCACAAACGGCCTTATTACTGGAGATAATAATTTTGGATCAAGCTTGAAGCTCGATGATGGGGGAATTATGTAGCTCAATGGTATTGCCACAATCCAAGTTATTATGAAGCCCACAAAAGCATACCAATTAAAGGATAAATTGAAAATGCTCCACTCATTATCCTGTGGCTCTCTCAGCATCGTAGGTTTCGTAGTCGTTGTCGTATTTGGAGCAGGACAACTTTGTGTGGATGTAGGTAAAGTTGGATAATGAATGCGTCCCCATGATCCGATAACGATAATGCTTATGCACGCAATACTCACAAAGACTCCGGCAAGGGCCGCCTGGAACAATTACTTGTAATTAATTGCTCTATCTCGTATTATTGAGAGTTAACTCACCCGACTATGTGCTCTGGGAATAAGCATGCCAAGAAGAAACACACCTCCGATCGATCCAAATATAATTCCTCCGATGCAGTATATTATTTGCAAAAGGGAGGAAAACTTTGAAACAAAAATTCCACCCAGGATACAGAAAACCCCAACACTAAAGATGAATAGCTTCATAACGATGTTTGCCTTGTGTTCAGTGTGATGTATGTGTGGCTTGATGTAATCGAAGTATATGATCCCGGCCAGTGAGTTAAGACTTGCGGACATTGTGCTAAGCGCCGCGCTGAACACACACGAAATAAAGACTCCTGGCATACCCTTCAGGTGCCCCACAACATCCTGCACAAAATACGGCACCATTTTGTCGACCTTCTCAACCACTCCCTGAAGCATAGGATCGCAGCCGTGGTACCGGACGTACATAACAATGCCAGTGTAGCAGTTGAAAAACATTATTACCACGAATCCTATTCCAAAAACGACCAGAGATCTGAAAAAAAAAAAACATTTTTAGCCGGCTCAGATCTAAGCCTTAAATCCGGCGTACCTTCTAGCGTGTCCCAAAGAGGGCAGTGAGACAATTCGCTGGACACAGCTTTGATTCAGTCCCACATAACTGGTCCACATAACTGTGGCAGAACCGAAAATATTCCAAAATGTAGAACGTGTAGTTAAGTCAAAGGCGAAGCTGTTAAACAAAACATATTGTATAGTAGTCTTTGCTCTTTTGGGATCTGCTTTATTTACTTGACGGTCAAACGTTCTCCTGCGCCAGCTATTCGCACAACTTCTGCGAATCCTCCGACATTATTTGTTCCCAGGATGCCGACCAACACAACGGATCCAACCATAACTGCAGCCTGCACAACGTCTGTCCAAACTACAGCTTTGATGCCCCCCTGAAATTAAGAACTTCCTGAATACTTGAACTGCTAGGTTGGGCTGCCAGTTCACATTTCAGAAACAACTCACAAACATTGTGTAGAATACGCAAATGCTGCAAACGATCGAATTGATTATGTGCACGTTGAAACCAGTAACTGGAACAAAATAAAGTTGATGAGACAACCCAGTTTTGTAACATATAAAGTACATATGTTTATAATATCTTTCTGGGTTCTGTATTACCACCCAGATGCAATGTCATTTGGGATAGAAAAATCAAAGTAAAATTTAATTGGGTTTGGAAAATGCGTTATATGCTTTGCAATATTTTGTGTGTTAGCTGATTCCCTACTTTTGCATTTTTTGTATACCCTGTACCCAAAGGATAAAAGGGTATACTAGTTTAGTGCGAATGTAGATATGTAACACACAGAAGGAGGCGGGGCAGACCCCCAAAAGTATATTTATTATTGATCAGTTTGACAAGACGAGTCGTCTGTCCGTCTGTATGAACGAAAGGATCTCAGAAGGTACAAAAGCTAGAAAGCTAGGTTCCCCTAAACCCTAGGCAGATCAAGTTTGTTCATTTTTTTTACCACCATATATACATATGTACAAGTACACAAACACATTGTACATAAACACTTATGGGTATTTAAGGGTTGAGCCCGCTCGACTTTAGCATTCCTTTCTTGTTTGACTTTAAATGAAGTATTGTCGTAATCAGCAAGAGAATAAGTTAAATATCAACTATTAGTAACTATTTGTTGACCCAACCCCCTTTTCAAACCAAGTAGATGTACATGTTCAACATGAGTTTGTCAACCTAACATACTTAGGTTTGCCACGCTATAGCATATTAACTAGTACACTAACTTTTAAATGCCGAACAAGGATGAACAATATGTAGCAGCTTCAAGGAATCAATTGGAGTATAAGAAATTAATCCATTGCTCCATTGTTAGATTTAGCAGATTGTATACGGAAGTTTGGTCTTGGAGTGGACAATTCAAAATATGAAATGTCGGGAATACATCTCAATGCTTTTTAACGATGAATGACACACAAAAAAAATCATCAGGCGAGGTGAAAAATTTTGTGCAAATCAGAACACTCTTAAAATCAATTGTGCCGCCTGAAACAGTCTGTTTAAATATATAACAATAAATAAGCAATGAGTTAGGAAAATATATAATTTCATTCTTAAGATACACAAAATACGAAACTGAAAATGATACAGTGTGTCGTGTATAACGCAATATACAACCCAGTAAGCTCCGGCTTATACTCCCACATATGTATACAGCTATTGACAACTAATTAACAATGACTAGTTCAAAATAGTACTATTCGTAAATTTTACTGGCATTTGGAAAGTCCCACTATTTGAGGAGTCAGGTTTTGAGGGAGAAAAATTGTCGCTTTTTTCATAGAATTTTTCTTTTCAATTTAGATATTTAGATAGAATCGGCATTTGTGAATACATTTTGTACATTTTTGTGCAATGCATGTAACAGGCAGAAGGAAGCATCTCCCATAAAGTATATATATTATTGATCAGCAAGCCAAAAGAAATTGATCTAGACATGTCCGTCCGTCTGGATGAACGTCTGGATTTCGGGAACGGTTGAGAGCACATTACCCGAACTTGGTATATAGATTCTCTTACTATTAGATATTAATACTTAATACTACTCCCACAAGCTGCAGCATCAAGTTCGCTCTTCTTCTTCCTTTACTTCTACTAAAGGCGCATATACCTCAGTGTCGAAAGTTTACCTGGGTACAGGGTATTTCAATGTCGGGTTTGCTCATCAGTGGCGTTCTCTCTTGTTATTTCCAGAATAGGGGGAGTCATTGAACGTAAACCCGTAACTGCTTGTACTAAAGATCACCTTTATTGCTCGATAGAGTTGATAAGTTGTTTTATGGATTTTTCGCGTGCTTCTTTTTTAAGTTTAGCGATAAGGCTGGGGTCTGGTGCAGGGGAGAGCCTTCTCTACCATTGGCGCCTAGATTTTTTGTCTGTCACGCTGAAGCTGCATATTATTTGAATTTGAAATAAATAGTACGAATTCGGCCTCAACATGTTTGCCTGATTTTCTGTATATCCAGCAGTGTACATACATGCTTATCTGCCTCTAGTGCCCCTTTTCTACAACTGATATCGAAAAGTATAAGCCATGCTATACTTAGTCTAAAGAGAAAAGTCCCAATGCTTTCTCTTTCGGAAGAGGGCATATAAGTAGAAGGTGAAGTTTTCACTTATAAGTAGGTGTGCTTTTCAAAATATGTTACCTTGAGAAAACGCCAGAGATGGTAAGAAGATGAATATTGGAAGCATCAAAAATAGGAAAACCACAAAAATGAGTGTTTGCCACTGGCGTGTGTTTCGGTCGAAGCGTAACTCCAGATACTGCAGTCGTAAAAACATGTTTTAGCGCAGGAAACATAACGATCAGTAAAATATTCATACTTCGTAGCAGTTGGAAATGTTATTATTATAAAACACTGGTATTATGACATAGTTGAGTAAGGGTACAACCACGATCATGCAGATCACATTGAAAATCCAATTAATGCCATAGGCATACATTTCCGCTGGTATAGTCATAATTGAGATGGCGGACAATTGACTGGCCACCAGGGATATGGCAATCGGAAGGGTTTTCATTCGTTTGCCACCCATCAGGTATTCCTCTGTAGTGTCGGCTCCTTTCGAAAAGAATCCAAAATACACCCCAATGGCTGCTGATATACTGAGCATTACAACAAAAACCACATAGTCGACCGTATTAAATACGAATGCTGCCGATTCCCGAACGACATTTTCCGTGCCGTTAACTAATATCGACATTATTACAACAAGTACTTCCCGAACTGCTATCCACGAACTGCACAATAGATCTACGAACGAGCACACTTCAACGGCAAATGGATATCACATTCCAAGATCTGAGCTTTTATATGGTATTGAAGTCGATAAGATGTTATCTATAAAGCGCCAATGGAATTAATAACCGAAATACCACCTATTTGGAGAGCAATCTTATCTAAATGGTTAAACTGATTTTAGTTTTATCACATTTTGCGTAGATTTGAACTTTTTAAGCATACACCATGAGCTTGGTCTTTCCCAGCAGACGCGCCTTGCTCTCTCTTATCAATTAGCTCTGACATTTAAAATCAGATTATCGTTATCTGAATAACTCATTCATTGTCTTCGCAGCCACAAAACTTGTATATATTATACATATTACCTAACCTGAAGTGTGCCCTCTTTTCACAAGTCATGCTATATAGATTATGGGGAATAATCTTAGGCAAGAGAATGACAGTGACTCAGCATCTCGAGAGTGATTTTGAATCATGAACAAAGCTGTTAAGCAAATATAATTTTGAGTCTCCAGGGAAGCAGCGGCTGACTGTGTTGACCGCCCAGCTACGAGTATTCCGTTTGAATTGTCCTCGATAACCTCCCCGATAACGGCACCAACAGTAAACGGTAAACAGGAGATCCCACTTAATGTAATTTTATTTATTATATTTAAGGTCAAGAAACATGAATGTCGATGAAAGAACACAATAAAAAGGTTATAATAAAGGCTTATAAGCTAGAAAACTAGCTATGCCCAATACAAATAAAACATTTATAGAGAAAGAAAGCTTATATTTAGATTTAATAGCTTATTATATTTATATGTATATTTATTTATATATACACTCGTATATATAAAAATGGAATATCAGATGCGATGGGGGAAGATTTATTAGCGAGTCCAGCAAGATAATCCCCGTCTCATAGCCGTTCCTGGTTAGAGATTACGGAGATGGCTGAAATATGAGGCTAATGATAAGCTTCCTTCAATAGCTTCAAGTGTAATTGCAGCCTAGTTTGCCGCCCCGGCCACCATCCCCCAAGTGAGTGTTTCTCCAACTCTTCCAGGCTATTCCAGGTACATTTTTTTTTATATTTTTATTGTAATTAATAATATTTTTATTGTAATTGTAAGGTCTCGGTCTACTTTGGGCTGTGAATCGGAGCATAACTGGTGGATGAACAAATAATATTTTTCCATCGCTTCGGATTCGTTATTAGATATTGACTTTAACTCTTTAGTTTTTAAGTTCTCGGTGAATTGTTTTTATGGCATCGATAATTTATGTTCAAGAAATTCGTAAATTTATATATATTAATAGAATATGAATATATATAAAAGGGCTTAGTTCTTTCGAACCCAAACTGATAGTAGAAAGGTTGCGAGATGCAGTCTTACGTTCGCCTTAAATTACAAGTCATGCGATACCCCGTCTAGAAGTTAAGGTTATATTGATAACAAATCATTAGAGATCTGGTCATAAGTTCAACAACTTGCTTGTTAACATAAAAATAATTATAATAATCAATATAAAATGCATACAATACATTTTAATGGATTCAGCATTCAAGAATGTGTTGATGTACTGTCCTGTATCAGGATCGTCTCTTGCTTAGGCAAATATTGATAGTAGACTATATCTATGTATATTTATGGTTCTTTTTAAAGTTTCCGCTAATACTCGACTCGATTAAAAGCCGACCATTTGTTGGCAGCCACTTTGGAGCTACTTGGCTATTCCACTCAAAATAGAGGCCTGCTAGTAGATTGAGGAGAGTGGCCTGTCGATGGTGAAGCGGTAGACGTAACAGCAAATTGGTTACGTGCCGTCGCAGGTGCATGAAATTGCACATCAAAATGAGTTATGAGACACGTCTTATTTGTTATTGTTGTTGCACAAAGCCGGGCGTTGAAGCGTTAAATGCGCCAGTGCCGACGCGTTGATTGCGTGTAAATGGTGTGACCCCAAACACATCTGTTTACCTTTTAATAAACTTGCCAAAGCCAAATCAAGGCGCACGCACAGGTGTGCTGAGCGCACAGTGTTGATTAACGGCGAACTGCCAGGGAGACGGATGCCAAAAACAGCGAGAAGTTCTTCAAGCCACAAAGCCAACTTACAGTTTGATTGGCATGCTGTTTGTTTGACTGCCTCTGCTACTCTGCTACTGTCCGCTTCCCTGACACGCTTAAACGTTTACTTAAACTCATGCAGCTGTTAATTAATGGATGCCATTTATTTTCTAATTAGTGTAATTTTCGCCGCCCTTTGTTATGCTTGCGATTGATATGGCAACATACAAATTTATTATAAATTTCATTATTTAAAGTGGGCGTCTCGAATGATTAACGGATACCTTTCGCACCGATGCGAACGCTCTTTTCGCCCCTTTCTTATGGCCTATAATTTTGAACATGCGTGTGTGGTGATGGGCTAGGGAGTAATTAATTTAAGTTGATAAACTATGGTTTATGCTGCAGTCCCAGGTGATTGCTAGTTCTTATGCCTGCTTGCTGTGGCGTGAATCAACAAGTTTGAAGTTTGAAAAATGGAAACATTAGTCCATGAGCTGCGATAAATGGAGGAGGCCTCTTCAAGAACTCGAAAGCAAATTCTGAATCTAATGTACGAACGACTTCATTGCAAAGCTGTTAACCGATGGCTTAAGAACTGAAAATTATTTAGGTGTGTTATTTTTCTTGCGAATCGGGCTGCAAGTTTTGGACATAGCACAAGAGCTTAACAAATATCCTTATTACAATTAATGAACAAAACAGGGTGTAAAGAAAGAGTTAAACATTTATTATTATAGCGCACTATTTCGCCTTAAAATGGAATTAAGTTAGATTTGTTTAACTTTTTCTATTAATAATATGCATAAGTTCTCAATTTAACATATCGTGCATTTTGTAATCAAAATTTAAATTTCTTAGCCCCCTTTGGGAAATGCTACGCCCTTGAGATAAAATTAGTTTGTAAGGTTAAGATCAGTTCAGATTTTGAATTCAGGAAATGAAGTGGCTTATTCGATTCCCTGCACTAACTTTTTTTTCCGTTTGAAAAAAAATAAAATTTATGCGTTCACCAACCGCCACTAGCATCCTTTTAACTTTTAACATTACAATATTTAAATTTGCAATTTTGCAACGCCTGTAACAACACTTTTACTTTTTGCCCTTTTTTCCTTTTGGCTCATTTGGTTAATGGCGAATTAATTGTCCAGTGGGTCGTATCAACTAATGGGAGCATGTAGTCGTATTTTACATAGCAAATTAGATCTCAAACTAAATGCGGACTGCCAGTTAACCATAAGAAAACTTGATTGCATACAAAATTAGTTCTTTTCAACAATAAAATAAAAGAAACCAAGTAGAAACAATGTTAAAGAAAAAACGTACGTGTACCCGGCAGCCATTTAGGGTCGGCACACAAAACGTTACTGCCATTATTTTCTTTGTAGATAATTAGAATAATATTTGATTTAAAACATTTTATTTCAATTACACAACCACCGCAGCAAACTAAACAGCCAGCTCGGCGAGTTGCTGCGTCGCTGCAGGCCAAATGTCCAACACAACTAGCAGCAGCAGAAGCTCGAGTTTGGTGAAGCATGAAGCTCAGCAGTTGCCACAAACCAACAACGGCGTCCGGCAGTTCAAAATAACAAAGAAAAGAAAAAAGGAACAAGAACAAAATAATGAGAGCTGAGCACAGCATTGCATTAAGTCAAGTAGCGTAAAATGTTAAATATTGTTTATACGAAAAGCTTCCGATTCGTTTATTTTGCTACAAACATTCTACGAGCTTGTTAACCTGCCGTTGCTAATACATTACAAAGAAGGGCAACTTCCCAACTGTATGCTATGGACAGCACAATTTCACAGATCTTCCGAGAAAACAACAAGCCCAGGTGTGAAGCGTATTGTGAAAATAAATATTCAAAAGAAGAGCAGACTCTACTTCTACACAGGTTCAAAAGTTATGTCTTGTTTATAGTTGTGGATGGTTAAGTATGCTTTTAGGCTCCAGACAATTGCACAGTTAATTTGCATATGCACTCGAATGGTCGAATGGAGTTGTCGTTCATTTGCAAAGTCAGATGCTGACCAGAGGCTAGGGTGGCCTTTTAAGCACATCAAATCCTTGAACGGTCGTTCGACATCTATCAATGCATGCTGAGAAAACCAGCCAGCCGGTCATATTTCAACTGTTTGTTGTTGTGTTAATTATCGATTTTGCCGTATTAGTTAACATCTATACGTGTATGTATGAAGGTCTAATATGTGCGAATTTTGCATAATATACAATTAATTAATGTTCAATAGTAATTACAATTTCCATAGGCGGGACTTATGACAAACACAAACAATCACATCTGGTGTTTATGCGATACAGATTTCTGTAAAATTAAATCCGTTAAGTGGAATACCCTAGACTTCCCAAACTGTGTTAAATACACAAACATACATATGTATCTGTTGTTGTATTAGCACATAGCAGTAGCGAAGTAGCAGAGTTGAAGTGATTCGCTAATAAGTGCTCTTAAAATACCGGTTTAGATGAAATTTAAGTGTGTTCTATATTTTTTCGGAGTTGTGAGGAGTATTGAGGAAATTTTGAATTGTGGAAAAGTGGGGAAACAAATCAAAACAAATGAAATAACCTCGTGTTATGTGATGTGAGCCTAGCTGTTTTCGAAATTCTCGCATTCATCCAGACGGACAGTCGGTTATGTTTTGATTGATTTACCTTGTCATGCTTCGGCGACCTAAAATACTTTTTTTGTACCCTTTCGGAAGATTTATCATAAAGATACCATTAAATTGCTACATACATAATAATACCATTATAATGCATTAATACACCATTATTAGATATTATTCAAATTTTTCATAGCCCGGGAATCAAATTTCACAAATATATATTATGATTGAGCGAGAAATTTGATGAAAATGTTTGCATATACTCGTACATAAGTAGTGTAATGTTCAACAGACGCTTCAAGTAAATAAATGGCTTGGCAGTCGAAGTTAAATTTGATCAAACATT